ATTTTGCTAAGTGTATTTACTGTACCATGATTTTAAATTCACAGGAAAAGAGAAAATTTAGTGGCAGAGAGGAGCGGGAGGCACATGGTGCATTGAGATGTTCAAATCTGAAAAAAATAATCATATCATCGGCCTGGAGGGTCCTTATTAAATAAGAACACAACCTCTAGTTTGCACAGCTCTGTTATCATTTTATCCTCCAGGACTATAAGCCTTATTAATCCATTTCTTGAAGGAACTTCTTGTTTTTTAATACCATTGTTGAGGTACTGATTTTCTTTTTTTAGGGCTCTAAATTTAAAATTAGCTCAGATGATGCTATCTTTTCAAAAGTGAAGGAATATTTGTTTGTTGTTAAGCTGCATTTTATGGAGGCAGGCTTTAACTTTTCCCAGGAACACTAAGTTAACTTGCATATAAACTGTGCTTTGTTACTAAGAAAAATTAAATGGCCTTTGTATTTAATACTTTTGATGGAGCTGCTGCATTTATCACTAGGATTTAATTTAATCAGGATTCAGATACTATTTTTTCTGATGACTTGGGTATTTTGACTGATTTCCTCAGTGGATTTTCCTTTTCCTCCATTCATGGATTATAATCAAGTTTCTTTCATGTCTGCATTTAGAATACAACTTGTTACGGGGGCTGTGAAAACTTTGTTTATCTATTTAACATAGTTTTATTTTAACATGCTTATTATTTAGTCGTCATTCTTTCATTATTAAAAACTTTAATGCTCAGGGGAGAGGAAGGGGAAGGTGTGTCTCTGTGGGAGGACATGAAGATGAACCAAAGGTAGGAGTGGGGTCTGCTGGGGAGTTTTGTCTAAGAGTGGTAGAAGGCAGTAGCTGGAAGTGGGAGACAGGAGGAGCCATAAGCATCTTTCATTTATGAATGGAAGAAGGCAGTTGAGACTTGAAGATGTCCAGAAATTTTTACTGGGGATGGAAAGCAGAAGAAAGGAAGTTATTTATAGAGGAGGGAAGGCAGCGGTTGTGAATGGAAGTTATCTGTGGGGGGGTTTTAAAGATTGAAAAATGCGATATGGAGTCTTTTCTGGAGAAAGAACAGCAGCTGAAGCCAGAAGAAGTTCAGGAGCTACCAGAGTGTTTCATCCAGGGATGGAAGGCAGCAGGAATGCCAGGAGATGCAGCATCAACAGCTTTTAGGTCAAGGCCAAAAAAGTGAAAGAGAGTGAGCTTTGAGGAATGACTGCCAGAAGGAAATATTTCATTTGGGACGAGGTGCTGTCTAACAAAGATAACATTTCCGCAAAGTATCTAGCTGTTACTTTCACAAATTTTCCCTTCAGACTCACATGCTAAAGAGACTCAGGAGTCATGCTGTCAGGCTGAATTTCAGTGCTTTAAATATGCCAGATTTAGAAGAAACCCTTATGGCTTTCTTAGTGTCAAAGAAAATTCCATCATAAAGGAGAGTTAGGTAGTCAGCAAGGGGAAACGAGCGACTAACAAAATGCAATTTTTGTAGAAAATTTCATTCCTTCTCTCTTTTCCCAAAATATAACTAGTGTATTTAATATTGAATTACACAAATCCATAACCTGTCTAGGTGGATTTCTGTAAGTACATATCAAATACTACTTTTGGTTTTGGAAATCTAACGTGGAATGAATTATGGAATTTTGCTACAGAGGGTATATTCTGTGAGACACATTTTTAATACTAAATTAGGGATATGAAAAGATGTGCCTCTTTCCATTGACCGGTACCCAAAGTTTACCAACTTTCTCTGCACAAAACTTGAATGTTCTTGCAATTCTGTATCTTAGATTGTGCCTTGTATGGTAATGTTTTTTATACTGTTGCTCCATTATCATCTTCCCTATCAGCAACTTTGCACCAGTGCATGACATTTTAGAAACTGCTATGAAGACACCCAACATTAAAAATCAAACTGGAAGTGTTTGATGCCTATGGAGGCTCCAGTGGATTAGGAATAGTGGATCCATAATGTTGTTTACTCTCCCTTTATAACATTTCCATCATCCCCTTTGTGGTTTTAGGAAAAACTGACATATCAAAAAAAGGCTGGTGACTATTTTCAGGATTCTGCTTACTTTAGAGCTTGCTGTGATATATAAACTACACCTCTACCCCGATATAACGTGACCCGATATAACATGAATTCGGATATAACGCGGTAAAGCAGTGCTCCGGGGGAGCGGGGCTGCGCACTCTGGTGGATCAAAGCAAGTTCGATATAACGTGGTTTCACCTATAACGCGGTAAGATTTTTTGGCTCCCGAGGACAGCGTTATATCGAAGTAGAGATCTAGTTGGAATTTTTTCAATGTATACAGAACTTTTTGGTCAATTTCTTCAGCACATTGGCTTCTCAGTGGCATTTCAGCGTCTGCTTGTCCGGCGGCCGCGCTCCTCAGTGGCATTTCGGCGGCTAGTCGTCCGGCGTCCGCCACACTGAAAGGTTGGGGACCACTGCTATAGATCATTCTCTCTTTGGCCCTATGAATATTTAAGTACATTCAACAGGAAAGATTTGAGAGCAGTATAGCCAATACTTGGTGGAACTGTTTCAACAGAGAGATTGATAGCCTACAGCCTGGTGGTTAGGGCACTTATTTGGTACAGGGGAGGTTTCCATTCAAGTCTCTTCTCCTGAGTGGGGATTTGAATCTGGTCTTGCACATTCCAGGCAAATGCCCTAACCACTGGACTAAGAGTTGTAAAAGGGGAATGCTTTCTCTGTCTCACACCAAGTATTTCCCCTGACTTTTCAGTTTGCAGGCTGAACCAAAAACTCAATTATTCATCCAATTCTACTTATGTCAATTCAGCAGCTGAAGCTACTGCAGAACATGATACCTCACTTACTAACTACGGCGTTTTTCACCATGATCATGTGACATGTGTGATCTATGAATGCTGACTCTTCATTTTTGGGTGGGATAGAAGATGCTGCTTTTGACTTGAGCTGGACTCTCTTCCAAGTGGCAAAGAGAGGGAGCTGCTGTCAGAGCATTCTCCTTGAGGGACCCTGAATTTTGGAATCCACTTTCCCTTTTCGTCTGAACTATGTTGACCCTTCAGGGCATGCTGAAAAGCTCATCTCTTTTTCCTAACGGAGGAAACCGGATGGTGAGGATTTGTGCACCTTGGACTGACGTTTAAGGCTAGATTGGTTTGTTCCTGCCCGGTTTGGGGGAGACTGCTGAGTTAACTTTTGTAGGTGCTAGTATGATTGGATTTTTAATATATGATGACAGGTCCAAAAGCCTTGGAGAGGGGCTTTTCAATGGATTGTATGACTCCTAATACTGTGTTAATTTAACAATGCAGTGCTGTGTCCTATAAAATTGTCTGTTAGGAACGTCACTAGGGCATTGAGGCTATTTGCATAATTGCATCCTGCCTATCTATATTCCTTATGTATTTAAAATTGACTATAGTCTTTTTCACTTCTGTCCTAAACTCTTGGTGGGGAAAAAAGGGGTGGAGGAGATGTAGATGATTTGTATAATACCAGCAGTGTGCTATGTAAACAGTAGTAACAGCATTAGGCATAGTCACATTAAGCTGTATGGTTGGACCAAATCGTATACTGTGAGAGATCTCTTCAAGTAACACCAAAAAAAAAAGTCTTTGTGTCATCAGCTTAATTGTTATATCGATGCACGCACACATGCATCTATGCATCTTCCCTTCTATATAGATGTTATTTATTGCTGGGATGCCTGTAGCATCTCCAGTTCAAAGATATGTTGTTAATGTAGGAAAACCTAACATTTCTGGTCCCATATTGTAAATTATCCAAATCTGAGCAACTACTTTGTAATGGGTCAAGTGAAGCTGAAGTGAGGAATATAGATATGATTGTGCAGCCAAAATAACACTCTGAGCCCATCCACTCAGAAAATTCTTTTATTTGTTAGTTTACATGGAGTTTCACTTCACTTTCTGTCCATGGATACCCACTTCCTTCTGGTGCTTGCAAACTGGCCAGTATGCTTTCTTTCTAAAAGCCTAAAAACACCCTCAAAATTGCTGATATTTTGTAAAACACCTGTGATGGTATGTTACATGTTGTGCTGTCTAATTGCATGTTGCGTTGTCAGCATTTTGATGGCCCCTGGTTTGGGAGGTCCTAAGTGAGAAATGCAGGCACTGCTATGCACAAGCATAAGCCAACACTAACTGACTTGGAAGAAACTTTCCCCCTATTCCACAATTGTTAACTTGTAGATTTCTTGCATCTTCAGAGATGGGATACTGAGCTAGATGGATCACTGACCTGATTTGGTTCCTATATTCATAGGTCACTGAGAACAACTAATGATCATCTCTCCTCACAACTAATGATCCCTTCACAAAATAGACAGGCCCTCTCCCAGATAACTAACCATAACTATCTGCAATCTCCATCTCCTTTTCTAAGGGCCAATTTTCTAAGGGGACAAAAGAGAGTTCCCAGCTGTGTGGAGGTGGGAGTGGGAGAGAGAGAGACTTTATATAAGTATCCCTTCCTGCCCATATTGTTGCTGAAAATGCTCCTGGATCTTCTGTGCTAGCATCCTCTATGAAACACCCTTAAAAACCATCAATTGTCCCCATATCAACATTGGAACTGGCTCATTTTTATGGGTTAAAGTCAATAGGAGATGTCTGGCCAAACTCCAGTTTCTGTGCATTGCTTTGAAAAATGTAAGGGCTACATTGCATACCAATTTCACATAAGTTAAAGTGGATTGATGCTTTAGGGTTCTTCCACTAAAAGTATTAAATGTGGAGAATTTTATTTTGTTTTTTCATTTACTTTTCCTAACACAATATGAGGTTGAATTCTATGTATTTCTGTTGTTTACATTGGTTAGTTCTCCATTTTATACCAATAAAACTTAGTCAATGTAATAAGTCTCCTCGTGTCTGCTTTAAGTCCAGATTTAATTTGGTACCTCTCTATTTGTTTTCCTTGATAGAAACACAGACATTCATATTTATAACCCTTTTGTTCTACAGCATCTCCCAGATGGCTCTGCCCCAACTGCACATGCTGAATTTTATCTTTTACCAGATCCTGATGAAGTCAGCAGAAGGAAAACGAAAGCAGTTCCAAAAAGCACTGACCCTACTTATAATGAAATTGTGAGTGTTACCATTTTTCTTCCAGCATTTCTTGTTTTTCTTGACCAAATCCTTTACTGAAATAGCAATAGAGCTTTGAGAGCTGCAATAACTGGTACAATCAAGAAACAGGGACATATCCAAAGATCAAGTGTAAACACTGATGGTCTTCCATTTTGCTTCCAGTTCTCAGTGATACAACAGTTTCCTTATGTCTCTCTCTCTTTAGGAAAATACTTGACTAACTAGTACCGTTCAATCTTCTACTTTAATTATAGTTCCATGTTAGACTAGTAAAGCCCAATATCCATTGCACTAAACGTAACCTTAATGCTTTATTCACATTTGTACCTGTAACTTTAAACAATACAATATTAATGAATCTAATGATTTTAACATACCTACACAAAACAGACACTGGACTAGCTTTCACTCTACTAAATAACAGGCTGGATGGATGGAGTCCTACATTGGTATTGATCTCCGAGGGTTCCGTGAACACTGCAAATGAACACACATATGTGAGATCACACTGATGCGAGAACAGCAAGCACGACTGCATGTGGGACAGACAAGATTGTGCAAGACCATTGCAGGCTGTTGCGTCCTTGCTTTGTGCTGTTTGTGTTTTTCACATACGGTGTTGATGTGCCTTGCTTCAAAGCGGTTAACGGCACCATGGCAAATCTGCTGCTACCTTGCTCTGTCATGGGCTGTTGCTTCCCCGTTACTGGAGTAGGCCTGACACACTTTCAAGTGTGACTTTAGTATATCTTTATACCATTTGTACTGACCACCATGAGGGCAGGTGCCTTGCTTTAACTGACCCTAAAGTATAGCCTTGGGTAATCTTGAGTCAGCCATACAAACAAGTTGCCCAGACCAATGCAGCTGAGCTATCATAAGAATTCTTTGAATGCCAGACATCCAACAACAATTAAGGATTTCAGTATTTGGAATCTTGTCCTAGCATTTGACTCTGCGAACAGACTAAAGAGAGCACATATGATCACGTTCCTGATATGGGGTGATATGTTGTCCATGTCTCTCAACCTCAGTTCTGGATCACTTTCCCAGGGGCAATGTCATGGGCCACTGAGGGCATCCACAGGTCATGAGTAGTGGAATGGCCTCCAGGTATAGATGGTAGCTGCAATATAAGCAGGGACAATAAGCACTCGTGGAAAATCTAATGGCAGTACCAACAGGGCATGGTGGAGCAGAAGGCGGCACTGCTGCCCCTACAAAATGTCAAAAGATGCTCAAAGATGGTATTGGACTAAATAATTACATAAATAATAAATGACTTAGCCTCTTTTATGCCAAATTGTTGGCAATTTACAGACCTATGTAATCACTTCATTCACCTTTGAAATGCAGCCACCTCTGGGGTGAAAAGAAGCAACCATACAGCTGCACAGAGCAGCACTACAGGACAGGAAGTGACATACACTATATTCTGTTGAAACTGAAGGGGGGATTCAAACAGTTAGTGTATTTAAGGAAGCAATGGGCTTTAGGGCCTTGGTAGTTATACTTAGCATGTCACACACACTACTTGATTAAGCTTCAAAACACCCTTGTTAGGTATGGTACCCTGCCCCTTTGTACAGATAAGGAAACTGAGACATGACAAAGTTAAGTTGATTTGCGCACAGACACAAGGCAAGTTAGTTAGCTGGGATTAGAACCCCTGTTTTCTGATTTCCCAGTCCTGTGGTTTTTACTTTTAGACAATGCTACATAGTAATTGTCTATTAAGTATCTCCAATTGGCCTGTTCCTTAAGTTACATTGTACATTTTCAATGCATATTGTAAGAAGGCTTCAGCAAATGGTATTTACACTCATGGCTGAAACAGCTAGAAGTTGGCACCCTATGGCAGAATTAAATGAAATTAGACTTTTTATTTATCTGGTGTGTTTATAGCTCTCCTTTTAGCAATTAAAGTTACAGTAGAATGGAGTTGCTTGGGTGTCTGTCTCTCTCTCTCTCTCTCTCTCTCTCTCTCTCTCTCTCTCACACACACAC